TGAAGGGTCCCGGGTTCGATTTCAGCCTAGGGCAAATGCCTGGGTCGTGGGCTCAATCCCCAGTAGGGGGCATGCAGGAGGCAGCCGATCCATGATTCCCTCTCATCACTGATGTTTCTATCGTTTCCCTCTACCTTCCTCTCTGAAATCAATAAAAAAAAAAATGTTTTTTTTTAAAAAAAAAACAAGGATAGGAACACTTATACATTACAGACACATACACACACAACACCACTATTAACACTGGTTCAATATATATCTGTTGACATGTAAGAAAGAATGAATTCAGTACTTACAAGAATTATATTATTAAAAATGTATCAACATAGCCTTTTTCTCAGCTGCTATCACTTTTATAATTCTTAAGCTCTATGAGTTTAGAACTGTACAAAAGAAACTAAAGTGTTCAGTAGGTTTTTGAAAAGCGCTCCCAGCCTGGGCCTTTTTCTTCAGTCGCCTAACCCAATCTCCTGGTCCGCCACTTGGCACAGTCTCCATGGCTTTCAAGAAGAATTTTCTCCGAACACGAAGGACAAGATCAGGTCCACAAAGGAAGAGCATACAACAGTATCAGCTGAAACTGCTTCCCCTTCAGAAAGGCCAGGCGGACACCAGGTCAGCCGAGGAAACAAACATTTCTTCCATTGACAAGTGTTTAATTGGACATGTTGAGTACCTAATGTCATGTATGCAGATGCAAATGTTTGACGGGTTGTTTACAGTGCAGTTGGTGCCAGACAGGCTCCAATGCCAAGCCAGCACACAGCCTCCCATTATTCTGCTGGGCTCAGCTTCTAAAGATGTTTCAGGGCTCTCTGGGCCTTGTAAATTTCCACAGCCAAGGCTCCTCTGTGTGTTCAGAGCTGATTCCTTCTTTGCCCCGTGAGCGGACTGTCCTTCCCCTGCCAATCCCTACTACTGTCTGCCCTGGTTCAGAAAAGGCTTTGGAGAAATGATCTGAGGGGTCATTATTCCATCTCTGGAAAGTGTAGGTTTGAAGTTTTAGTAGTTTTGGGAAAGTCACAAAAAGGAAATGTCACACTCTAGATCCCTGCCCAGACACTGGGTCTTAGCTGATATAACTACCAAAAATTGTTCCTGTTATTCGTTGAAACTACAGCTTACTAAGTCAGAAGAGAGAGGCGTCCACTTCAACACGTTGCGGACGGATTACGAGAATTCTCGTGTTTTCATATTCCACAGTGTTTTACAAAGTATCGTATTTAAAAAAGATATTAGATTGTAAGAACATGTAATAAATAACTTCAAAATGCAATGGGTATTTAATTTTAAGGCGTGCCTTAACATTTATGTAAAACGTTTTTTGTACTCGTTCAATAGGAACTTATCTGGCCGCTGGGTAAAGCTAGCAATAGAACTACTGGTCCACATTAACATGCCAGCTATAAGGAAGCACTTTGGTTGGGAGATAAACAGGCTATATCTCCAATGGGGGAATCCATTCACCTTTAAAGAAAGAAAAGATAGAGAGAACTCATGGACATGGACAACAGTGTGGTGATTGCTGGGGGGAAAGGGGTGCATATAGGTGGAAGAAGGCATAGAGGAGATAAATGGTGACGGGAAAAACAAAATAAAAACAAATTCAATAACAACAAAAAATAACTGAACCATACTCTGCTTTGAAAAATGCAACACAATAAAATTGAGTTCATTATTTTTTTCATACTACAAATACTGATTACCTACTATGCTAATATAATTTTAAATGGTCTCTAATGATTAGGGGACCAACTCCAATCCCTGTCTTCATATTTGATACTCAAATTAGAAAAGAATTGACAGCCTTGCCAGCTGACTCAGTTGGCTGGAGCATCATCCCTTACACCAAAGGGTTGTGGGTTTATTTCTGGTCACTGCACATACTGCACATACGTAGGTTGCAGTCTGATATGCAATGGATAGATGTTTCTCTCACACATCAATTCTCTCTCTCGCTTCCTCTCTCTCTCCAAAAA